GAAACTTTGAAAGAGCTCTAGCCCAGTTCTACTCCCTCCAGTGGCTGCTGACTTCTGGTTTTCACTGCAAATGCAACTGTTAGTTTTCAAGGTTACCATAGAGTTGGAGAGCAGAGAATGGAATTAGATCAAGTTAAAATACCCCAGAACTGGCTACAGTAGTCTCCCTTATCCACATTTTCACTTTCAGTAATTTCAGTTACCTGCAGTTAACTGCAGTCTGAAAATATTAAGTAGAAAATTTCGGAAATAAGTTTTAATTGCATGCTATTCTGAGTTGCATGATGAAATCTTGCGCTGTTCCATTCCATCCTTCCTGGAACAGCGTATCCATGCTGTATATGCTACCTGTCTGTTAGTGTAGGGAAAGACGTAGTATATATAGAGTTCAGTACTGTTCATGGTTTCTGGCATCCACTAGGGATCTTGGAACATATCCCCCATGGATAAGGGGCTACTGCTGTATTCTTACTGAGATTCAGCTGTTTTTCTTGAATAAATGCTTCCCATTTTGCTGCAAACCTGTTAATTTGTAGAGTTTTTTTTTTAAGTTGATTCTGACCATTTTGGCCAGTTTTCTCGTTATTTATATAGGGGAGAGAATTTTGGGAGGTTCTTACTCTGCCATTTTTATGACATCACTTCCCTCCCCTTTCTTTTTAGATTTTTATTTTCATGAATCTGCTGCTCTCCTCTTAATAGTGAAATTGTAGTTTGGATTAGATCTGAATCTTAAAGTTTACCAAAGCTTTTCATCTAGGACTTTTTCTTATACCCCAAGTTAGTCATGTAAGCATATACATTTCAAAGTAGTGTGATGGTACACATGTTCTTGGCCCCACTGGTTTATACTAAAGGAGGAAGATTTGATTGAGACCAGCCATGTGGTAGTCTCTGCCATACTACCTTCTAGGTTTTCCCTCCCTCATGCTCTTCCCCTTGGAAGATAAGTTTCCTTACCCAAGTTTCCCTCCTTTCTGTGCTAGTTAACCCTTTGTTTCTTCCTTAAACTTTTATTGAAGAGTAACACATAAGAAAGTACACAAATTACAGCAACATGCTTAATTTATTTTCTCCAAGTAAACAGCCAGGTAATTACTACCCTCATTAGTTGATATCCATTCACAGAGCTGACCATCTACCCAGTAAATCACTTTTCAGATGTAGCTTATGAGACCTTTGTTAATCTATTCTAAATAAACATTGCTGGAGACCAGTAGTATATATTTCCCCCTATTTCTCTCTTTTTTAATTGATATATAATTCTCATACCATAAATTCACCATTTCAGGGGGAAGGGGGTGGGAAGGGATAGACTGGGAGTTCAAAATTTGTAGATACTGACAGGCATATGTAGACTAGATAAACAAGATTATACTGTATATAGCACAGGGGAAATATAGCACAGTTTTAGTCTATTAACAGAATTGTGTGGCCATCACCACTGTCTAATTCTAGAAATCTTCATCACCTCAAAAAGAAACTCTGTTAATTAATAGTCACTCCCCATTCCCTTCCTCTCCTCAACTCCTGGAAGTCACTAGTCTACTTCTTTCTGTCACTGTGTATTTACTTTATCTGGATGTTTCATGCCAATGGAATCTCATAGTACACAGCTTTCTGTTTCTGGCTTCTTTCTCTTACCATAATGTTTTCAAATTTCAGCTACGCTGCTGCATTTATCAATACTTCATTCTTTTTATAGCTCAGTAATATTCCATTGTATGGCTATACCACATTTTGTTTACTCATTCATCATTTGATAGACTTGTGTTGTTCCATTTCGGGGCTCTTGTGAGTAATGATGCTATGGACATTCATGTGCAAGTTTTTATATAAACTTATGTTTTCAGTTTTCTCAGATACATGCTTAAGAGTGGAATTGCTTGGTCTTACAGCCACTCTCATTTAATGTTTTGAGGAACTGCCAGACTGCTTTCCACAGTAGCAGAATTTTTCCACGTTCTCACCAGCAGTTTATGAGGGTTCCAGTTTCTCCACATTCTCGCCCACACTTATTTTCTGTTTTGTTTTTTGTTTGTTTTTACTGTAGCCATGCTAGAATGTGTGAAATGGTATCTCACTATGGTTTATTTGTATTTCCCTAGTGACTGTCCATGTTGAGCATCATTTCATTTGGTTACTGACCAGTTGTGTATCTTTGGAGAAACATCTATTCATATCATTTACCCATCTTTTAAGAGATTATTTATCATTTTATTATTGAATTTTGAGAATTCTTTTTATATTCTGGATACTATACCCTTATATGATTTTCCAGTATTTTTGTCTATGCTGTGAGTTGCCTTTTTACCATCATAGTGACTTTGATGTACATTTTAATGTTGATGAAGTTCAGTTCAGAACCTATTTGTTCTTTTATTGTTTGTACTTTAAGAGGTCATGTCTAAGAAACCATTGCCTAATCTAAGATCATAAAGATTTACACCTATATTTTCTTCTAAGAGTTTTTTAGTTTTAGCTCTTACATTAAGATTTTTGATCCATTTTGAGTTAATTTTTGTTTATAAAACAGGGGTTCATACTGATTTTTTTTTTTTTTGCATGTGAGTATCTAGTTGTCCCAGCACCATTTATTGAAGACTGTTCTTTTCCAAACTGAATGGTTTTGGCATTCTTGTCTAAAATCTATTTATAATAGAGGTATGGGTCATTCTAAACTCTCAGTTACATTCCATTGGTATGTATGTCTTTACTTACGCCAGTAGTTCACTGTCTTGATTACTATATACCTTTACAGCAGGTTTTCAAATCAGGAAATGTGAATCTTCCAATGTACTTTTTTCAGTATTTGTTTGGTCATCTTGGGTCCCTTGTATTTCCACATGCATTTTAGGATCAGCTTGCCTGTTTCTGTTAAAAGGATAGTTCAAATTTTGATAGAGATTGCATTGAATTTGTAGTTGAATTTGGTGAAGTAGTATGTTTTTAAACAGTAGATTTCATTTAAATAAACTTTGGAAGTACATAAAGTGAAAAAAAATCTTAATATTTATGATACTTTTTTAAAAATTAGGTAAGTGTGTAGACCTTACTTGACCTTCTAGGGTCATCTGGCAGAGGGATGAGGGTGGACTCTCAGAGCCAGAGGCACCAGTTTGCAGCACAGAACAAAGAATGATGCTCCTCAGGGCTACTCAAGACACTCCCTGTGGCCAGCTCAAGGTGATGATTTTCCTCCACAGGCACACACACTTCCATCCTTCAAGACTCCTGTTGAGAGCTTCTGTTGTAGTTCGGAATTTATAAAGCCACATTGATTATAATGGAGCACTTGGGTAGGGATTGATATGATTGCCTTATTGTAATGAATTTGAAAAAAGAACATTTAAGAACAGATTTCTTTTTTTTTTTTTACTTTTAAGAAAATGTTATTGAAGTATAGTTGATTTACATTTTGTTAGTTTCAGGTATACAGCAAAGTGATTCTGTTTTCAGAATATGTGTGTGTGTGTATATATATATTCTTTTCAGATTCTTCTCCAGTATAGATTATTACAAGATAGTGAACGTAGTTCTCTGTGCTATACAATAGGTCCTTGTTATTTATCTATTTTATATATAGTAGTGTGTATCTGTTAATCCCAGACTCCTAATTGATCCCTCCCACACTCCCAGATTTCTTACAAATAACTGATATCTTGTTTCTTGAAAAGTTTATGAGAGTTTTTAAGAGTCAAGATTCTCTTGAACATGGAGCTACAAATGGTGGCCAGTTTAGTTGAATGTATATGCTAGCTAGGTTAGTGTTGCTACATTTAGTGTATGTGTTTGTACACACAGCACTTTTCTCATCTCTTGCTCTTGTAACCTGCCTGCCTTCCTGGATTCTTTATGCAATTGTAGAACCATAAAGGAAGCATAGTAGTTGGCCATGATGAGTGTCAAGGTATGCCTTGTATTTATTTTTATCTACCAAAAAAGGAAAATGAAAAGAAAGAAAATCTTGTTATCAATAAGTAGACCAAACTGTATACAGACATGATATAGTTTGAAGTTTACATGTAAACTCAATAAAATATATTTGAACTATTGTTATCTTTGAGAGAACAGATAGTTCAGGCAAGTGTGAACCTGATGTCAGCTTTGTGAGAAGAAGCACACGACTCCACTGTTATAGGTTCAGAAACTACAACCAGAGATGTCCAGACCTTGCTGTTTGAAACTGTCCAGAGCCAGGGATTCTATAGAAGCTGCCTCAGGGTGTAACCGGCACACTGTGCCAGGCTTCCCTTTGAATGTCTGGAGGGGAAACTGGTACCTACCTGGCTGAGGATGAGAAGAGAATCCTGTCTGCAGACCTGCCAGCCACTCTCCTCTTCAGGCTCTGTCTTTCTGTATTCTTCACTCCAGCCCAGTAAAGTGGGTGTCCTGAACAGACCTTAAGCCACCTTGCTTCACGGCCTTTGCTGTGGTGGTCCTTTGACTTGGTGAGCCCTAGCTATCCCTTTTGTACTTATCAAAACCTATCCTACAGTCAAGGACTATCTCAGAGTAGCATTTTCTTTATAACAATCCTGATTTCTCTCAGTCTTTGCTCATCGCTCCGTTTTCCAGTCCCCCTTAAGGTTTTGTGAGTGCTGTACTTGTCGACGACCCTCACCATAATCTGAGTACCCCTCCAATTCTCTTGTGGATTTGTGCGCTCTTTGAGAAGGAAACAAGGGAATGCCAAACACAGACACAAGTCCAGGCCCCACTGGATGGTGTCATTTGTCAGCCTGAGCTTTGGAGTGGTTAGTGGGGAATCAAAATTTTTTTATTGCATTATTTTTGTATCACAACTTGAGGAATTTTCTAACAGTTATCGTATCATAGTTCCATTCTCACTGTTGTGCCTGTTTTTATAAAGTTTTAATATGGTTTCTTACTCATTTGTAGCCCATCTTTGTGGATAATAGCATTTCAGGAGTTAATGTTTCAGAATTACTCACTGTCTTGTAACTTTCCTAACTTTATCTTATTTTTCCCCCTTACAGGAAATGACTTAGAGGCCTTACAAATACATCTGTGCATTCTTGCTTCAGACTTTACAATTGAGGGCCAACCCAGTCTGGAAGCACCTCTTATTAATGTTACAAGGAAACCGCTACCTCAGCAAACAAAAGGAAAGGAGAAGACTTACAATAACAGATGCCATTTTTTGCAAAAAAAACTTGTTTTCAGAAAATATTAAAGGAAACTTGGAAATTTTTCGCATTGAGAAGCTTTACAGGTAAATGGATTTGGCAGGCAGGCTCTGTCAAAATTCTGCAGAGATTTGATCTTCCTTCCTAAGGACTTAGTGTGAAGTTATTCTGTACTGCTTTTTAAATTGCTGTTGATCAGCTTGTGGGTTTTGGGTTCTAACTTTTCTGGTATATTGAAGATACATTATATTACATTTTTTAAAGTTAAGTTATTTTTCTGCCATTGTAAATACAGTATCAAAATATTCTTGCAAAGCAATTATAGGTAAACATTTTTCTCAGCAAGCATATCTTTTTATTAAGAGAGTGGAGCGCTAACAGTTCTTATATAGCATTTTAGACACACTTTTATTTTTTGTCAGAGGTCCTGCCTACACTGAAAATATTAATTATATAAACCCGTTGTCCTTTTCACATCTACGTTGGATCACATGGTCACCTGCCTCATGGAAATGCCTTTTTTAAAACTTAGATTTGCAGAACTCCATTATTTTTATACCTAGCCACAGTATTAGGTGAAAAGGAAAAGGAGGACTCAGAACCCTGACCCTCTGGCGGTCACTGGGACAGTCGGCCTTCCCGCATGTATTGCTGCAGCGCCCAGGACAGTAAAATGGACTACAAGCGGCGCTTCCTGCTTGGCGGGTCCAAGCAGAAGGGGCAGCAGCACCAGCAGTACCCGATGCCCGAGCTGGGCCGCGCGCTGAGTGCCCCGCTGGCGTCCACGGCCGCCACCGCCCCCCTGGGCGGCCTGGCCGCTGCCGGCAGCTGCCACCACGCCGTGCCCCACTCCACCCCCATCGCTGACATCCAGCAGGGCATTTCCAAGTACCTGGATGCCCTCAACGTCTTCTGCCGTGCCAGCACTTTCCTCACAGATCTCTTCAGCACCGTGTTCAGGAACTCTCACTACTCCAAGGCAGCCATGCAGCTCAAAGACGTGCAAGAGCACGTCATGGAAGCCGCCAGCCGGCTGACGTCAGCCATAAAGCCCGAGATCGCCAAAATGCTGATGGAACTCAGTGCCGGGGCCGCAAACTTTACGGATCAGAAGGAATTCAGTCTCCAGGACATTGAGGTAGAGTATCTTCTGTGTCACACTCGGGTAGGAAAATGTATTCCAGAGGTAAGTGAGAATGTTGTCTTAGTTTTTCCCTAATCACCGAAATGATGGTCTTTGCCCTCTTTTTTCTATTGATGCTCTGTCCTTGTAAAAACAAAATTTTTGAGTGAGTCGTATATTTCTTATTTGAGCACTTGCATTTCTTTAAAATTTTTTTTTTAATTTTTAGACAATTTTTAAAGGTTTCTTCCCATGGCTGTATGCTCCGTGTTGGACAGTACAATCTTGAGCCTGTCTTACACCCAGCAGTTTGAACCTCCCACTCCCCTACCCTTAAATTGCCCCTCCTCACCTTGTAAAAATTTTTGCATGCCAGGTTCTGAATTGCTTTTGTTTCAAATTAAGTAGGATAAAAAATTATTAAACAAAAAGCCAAATCAGCCTATATATATATTTTTTTAATTTTCAAATTGGAACTTAATTTCCAAATAACATACTGTTCAAATAAAGTACACAGTGGGGACTGAGGTTTCTAAATATTATAAACGAAGATTTATTTGTGAATTGTCTTTATATAGAACCATTGGTTTAATGTAGAAAGTTCCACACATGTTTACAGGATAAATCATCTTTCCAGTTCTAAATTTACAGCTGTTCACATTTGGATGCATTTGATTCTTACTCAGTACATTTCTTAGGGTCTTTGAGAGTCAAAACGAAATATTCTCCCTTTTTCAGGGCTCTAGATTAGAGTGTAAGATTGGATACAAATTTCATTCAGAATAAAGATGACATTGTTCTTTCCTTGGTTTAGGAAATAGCTATTAAACTGTCATCTGTTAAATTAGTTTCACTGAGAGATTTAAAAAATTATTTTTAGCTACTTAGAGAGTTCTTCTGAGTTTGATTTTTCCATGTGTCCTTGTACATTTTAGAAGCACATCAGAGGTTAAGTGTCTGGATGCTAGGCGGGAGAATGTTCCTTTCCCCATCCCAGGGTTGTATTTGATCTTAGGAAATCACCAGTCTTCTGAGCCAAATCTGATGATTGAGGTGGCTGAATGAATAACTTATACTGTTGTGGGTTTAAGGGGGAAAAAGTAGACTATTAAGTATTATGATTCATTTTTATTGTGTTTAAAAGTGATTTTGAAGGCATTTCTAAGAGGAATTTAGAACTGTTTTTGAGATGACACAGTAGTCTTGGTGTAAATTAGATATCATCAAACTTTCTGTAGAGGGCAAATAATAAATTTTAAGCTTCATGGGCCACACGTGTCTCTGTCATGTTTTCTTCTTTTTTTAAAGTATCCCTTTAAGAATGTAAAAACCAGTTTTACCTTGTAGACCTGTCTTTTGGACTGGATTTGGCCCATGGACTATCATTTGCTGAACCTGCTGGTATAAATGTATAGTATCTTCCTTGGGTCATTCTGTTTTGAACCTATTGAAGTATGTTTATAATTTTTGATTTTTCTATGATCATATTATATTCAGAGATACCATGATTTTGAAGTGTTTTTAAAATGGCTTGTCATAGATTAAAGTATTTTCAAAATTACGCATAAAAGCATATTTTGTAAAAATGTACTTCTCAAAAGAAATTCAAGCAGTGAATCTGAAAACTACTGCTCTACTCTCCCATCCCATTCCTTTTCCCAGAAGAGACCTGTTAACTGGTTGGCATGTGCCATTCCAGACTGTTGTCTACACGTGCACAGGTACATATTTGTGCACGTGCAGATGTACAGCTTTGGCTTTTGTTTGTTTTACATAAAGAACCATGTTGTTCAGCCCCCAGTGTGCCTGGTCACTGCTCTACAGAGATGTGGCAAGAGAGCAGTTAGGGACTCTGCCCTCCCAGGAAGTGTTGAACAGTGTCAGACCCAGACTGTTACAGCTGCTATCCTATAATGACAGAAGCACTTGTAGCTTTAACTAGAATTTCAGGCAAGAATGGTTTCAAAAATGAGGCCAAAGGCTCTTATTTTAACCTGTAAGTTATTGAGCTCTTCTTCAGGCTGTGCCACCAGGTCCTGGAGGAGACGGAGGTAGATCTTCAGAGCCACTTGCCCTCCAGCCCAGTAGGGCAAGTTCCCTTCTTCCGTGGGTCAGGACAGCTAGAAAAAGATGAAACAGCCCTGAGGAGCTGGGAGTTAGTGTTAGTAAGCCACTGGGGCGCACCGCAGTAGCACCTATCTTGTCCCTTCTGTTTTCCTGGGACTAGCATAGACCACTTGAGCTGAGAATGGGAAATATTTCTTATTATTGTGGTCTGGAATTTTGGCTTGGCTTTTCCCATTGAAATGCGATTAGGTTAGTTGGAATATTACCATGTTTTTCTAAATAATGGGCTAAACTGGCTTTCAGAGGCTAGACTGGAAACTAAGTGCTGTTGATGGGTTTTAGAATCTATGGGTGTATTCTGCTGACTTGAAAGTAAAGCCTAAAATGCGATTGCCAAATGGAGGTTTGCAGATGTAACATTTTGCTTTTTCCACAGAGCGATATTTGTTGTTTCTGGATTTTCTGTACTGCCATGGGCCTATAAGGGTCTCTGTCTCAGAGTATTCACCAACTCAGCTGGAATGGCTAGGCATTTGTTTTTTTTCCTATTGGTCTTTTTAAACTTTTATCAGCAAGGCCCTAAAAGGCTCTTTAACATTCACTCCTAGGGGGAAGAAGTCTGTGGCCTGACATTGCTGAACTTGACTGGCTAGGCAAGGAGCTCTGTTCAGGAGTTAGTCCAGGGTGAGTGAGGAAGGCCTTGACCTTGATATGGAAATGCTTGACCATTTTAAATCTAAGACAAAGTACCAATTCCGTTGTCCCACCCTGGAAGGTGGCCAAAATCTGCTTCTAATTTTCCCTTACTTACAGGCAGGTTTGAGATACGCTCGTTGATTTACAGATCCTGGTGCGTGTGTCTGGGAACTGCAGGTGCTGACTGTGTGCCCTGGGGCAGGCAGGGTGTACATGAGTCCTATCCTGTCTGTACTCATCAGTGACTTTGCCTCTTACCCCAGTGGTTCACCTTTGTAATCTCACTGTTAGAGACATAAGTTGTGACTGTGGTGATTCATTAGTTAACCAGTGCTTATGACACTGTTTATTATGGGGCATGGAGTCAGAAGATGTGGATTTAGAAAATGACTTTGCTTCCTCTCTGTATGGCCTTAGGCAAATCTTCTAACATGTCTAAACCTCAGTTTGCTCATCTACAAAATGGAATTACCACCCACCTTCCAAGTTCTTGTGAAGATCAGAAGCCACTAGTGTATGTGAAACACTGTACCCAGCTAGTTGTCATCATCATCACATATTATTATTGCTTCCAACATGTCTTGAAAGGTGCTATTAGCCCTACTCTGAAGTACAGAGCACAATTATGTACAAAACCAACATCGGCGAGAAATGTACAGCAGGTTATTCTTCTCACTGGAACCCTTTTAGTTGGAAAAATGCATTTTTCTCCTAGAACATTTGCTCTGCTCATTTCTTTCCTGGTTCTTGAGGTAGGCGTCTCCCTTTCCCCTGTGTGTGATCTTCTCTTTCGGTGTTGTAAGGCGCCAGCAGTATTACCTTGCCTGATGTAGGAACTGCCAGGATCTTTTCAGCATAAAAGCCCTAGGGGACCTCCTCTCCTGGTAGTTACTGCTCCATTTGCCTTTCACCTAGAATGGGGGTACACAGGGCAGGAAGTGGGGCAGGGGATTGGGGATGTCTTAAAATATACTAGGAATAGCTAGGAACCTGTGAACAAGCCAATTGGCAGTTTAGGTAGGATTTTTCTCCCTCTGGGTATGCAAAAAATGTATAAGTTACATTGTATATGAACTGGAATGTTGTCTAAAGTGAGAAATATGATCTTAATCAAGTGCTTCATGGGGATTCCTTTGTGTAAGTCTCGAACTGCCTGGCTAGCCAAAACGTGAACTCGGGAAAAATAGAGTTTCCCATATTGAATTTGTTCTTTGTACAAAGCTTTGACATTCCATAACACTTTTTAGGGGTAGACCACATGGGACTTGCTGTCTATATCTTTTCTTTTTGAGTCTATGGGGCATCTCCACTGGTGTTTTTTATGATTAGGTTAATTCCAGTGTTTCTATAAAATGCCAGGCTAGCTGAATTGAGTGGCTGTGAGTTTTCTTTGATTTTATCTTCCTCAATTTCATTTGTCCTAGAAATCATTACTCTAACTAAGGGTCATTTACAATTAAAATATGTAGTTCATATTAAAGAAAGATAGACAAAGATAGACTGTGGTTTTCTATTTATTAGAAGGCCACAGATGTCAGCCTCTATTTACAAACATCTATCACTTGTCTTAAGTAAAATTACTTTTTCAGTGCTAATGTAAGTAAAAGAATCAAATTGGCTTGTTCATGTGGTCATTCCACAGATATTTTGCATATTTTGTTGGTGCCAGGGTCTGTTCCAGGCACCGAGGATACATCAGAGAACAAGACAGAAATTCCTTCCCTTCAGTAGATAGACAAGGGTGTGATCTTTGATAAGATGGTTAGAAAAGGCATCACTGAGAATGTGATTATGTGAAGGAGATGAAGGAGTAAGCCCTGGTGATAACCAGAAAAAGAGAATTCCAGGCAGAGGGAACATCTAGTGCAGAGTTCCTGAGGCAGGAGCAAATTTGTGTTTGAAGGGCAGTGAGGACCTGTTGTGGCTGAAGCAGGGAGTGAAAGTGAGACACTAGGGGTGAGGTCAGAAAGATAAAGAGGTCAGCCTCTGAAGGGAAGGTGCAGGGAGGGCAGCAAGACAAAGTGATGCCACTTGTCCCTTTGCTTTTTTCACCCCTTGACAGCTCTGGGGCTCTGGTTTCACCTTGGGGCCTCAGTGTTGGTACAGGTTTCCTGGGAGTTACAGGTCTTTAAAGAGACTCTCTTTTTTATCTCCCAGTATTGTTAATAACTGTCTAAGAACAGTCCTATCTGCAGGAAATTGGTTCTTTGACCCCCTCAGGATACCAAAATTTGAAGATGCTGAAGTCCCTTATATAAAATGACATAGTATTTGCATATAACGTATGCACATCCCACTGT